TTTGTTGCAAGACATTATGACAACGTTTGAAGATATTACAACAAAATGAGACGCGAATGAAAATATAATAATCCGAGTCAGGGTGATCCGGCACGGTAATCGTTCTCGAGTAAACCTCTGGTCAACCAGGACATTGCCACGAATGATCCTATTTGCTTCATTTCGCAACACGAACATGATGAGAATTTAATTTCGATTTAAAGAAAATTCTTTTGATAAAATATTGTGGAATAATTTTTGTCTCAATCTCCTCGTGTTGCGTTATTTTTTAATATTAGAATGATATAGTCGTCGGTTATTTCAAAAATTAATATTCAAACTTTAATCATTTTTAAATCGCAAACATAAAATTTTAAATTTTTCAAGGGCGTATTTATCATTTCTGAGGCCTAAAAATGATACCTAACTTTGGCAATTTATTTAAGGAAAATAATTTACTCAATCGAAAACTTTTTATAAGAACTTTATTGCATAAACCTTAAAGAACAAAAAAATATTTTTAAAAACTTTTTATTTTACAAAGTGGTGCCTTAGCCGTATCGCCGAGCTGTTTTTTTTTAGGTATAGACGCTCTTACGATATACATGTATATTATATCGTTATATTATTATATATTGTTACTTATTAATTTTAGTATAAATCGTGCGTTAAGAAAAATAAATATTTATTGTGCATATTTGATTTGACAAACGTAACCGTCAAATTGTTTGTGCGGTACATGAAAGTCACTTCATACTCTAACAAATAAACAAATATGTTGCTAAACACGAGAAAATTTAAACGTTAAAGGTAGGACAGTAGGAGAGGGATCAGTTGGAGAGAGAAGAGAGCGATACTGTCCTTAATTTGATATAGTTGTATTGTCGGTACGCATTTGGAAAGGTTCACACAAATTTTAAAATGAATCAGCCACCTCAGCCACCTGCAGGAGATATTCCGTATTCTTATTCGAGACCAGGTATATTAATTACGTAGTTATTTATATAAATATAATATTAAATATTAAACCTTTATTTTCGTTATGTTTTCTAAAGAAAGTAAAACATTGATATCGGGTAATTACAAGTTTATCAGCATTGAAAGGCGACGCTGTCGTTCGTATCTCCAAGTTTTTAAATATAATCCGCACAATTTTGTAAATTATGCCATTGTTTTTTACTGTAGCATGGTCATTGTTTCTTTAAATACAAAAAATATATGTTAAACATTTCATAACGCTATTGAAATTTCTCTACTTAATTCTCTACTAAAAACTATATCCTATATAAGGTTTTAAAATTATATTTGTAATTGCAATGTATTATATTTCTCGACACGTACTTATAATTATTATTTATATATTACCTCGTTAAGTATTTGAATAAATTTTAATTTCTATAAATTGTTATTTATTAGACCTCGTTGCTGTGACTCACACTCGTTTAGAATTAACCGTGAATTTTGCCAGTCAAGTTCTCGTAGGCAAGGCAATATTGACAGTAGAGAAGAAAGTATCGAGGTGTAACGAACTAGTTAGTAAACATTTTTTTTTTAATTTTAGTATACAATACATATATATATATATATATATTTCAGTTTAGTTAATAATATCAAGCAATTAGGTTTTAGATACCTACGGACTTGACATATTTGGAGTCAGCAGTTGTTCTCCTGGGCGAATTTTATATTTTATTTTGGGAAATCATCATAATAACTTTGGCAGGAAACTTACCATTACCCTACCAAACGTGGATAGTGCAGACCAAACAGTCCCTACAAGCTCTAAACAAATGGAATTTAGCGATAATATGTAAGTATAGAATATGTTTGAGAGACAAGTATATAGATTTTCGAAATTATTGATACAGATATTCTATATGTATATATGACGATATGTATATATCGTATTTTTAGTTATACAATTCAGATTGGATATAGGACAAGTCCACAATCTCCTGCACTGTATTGGCTAAGAAAAGAACAAACTTCCGATGATGAACCCCTCTTGATATCTAACAGCAAGGTGAATTATAAAAGAATGATTTAGTTCTCCTGTATCAACGTCCTGTATTGTACTCACAAATCAATATTTTCAGCTTACATATGCCAGAGCTATATTTCCCTGTCAAGATACACCATCAAATAAAATGACATTTTATTCGAAGGTAAGAATTTAAACACAGTATGCATTTCGTATTTATTTGTAAGCACAGTAATGTCTGATTGATTGACATTAATATTATTAATAAAAGTAATAAAACGTCAAAGTGAAAAGTATAACATATGATAGGGAGATAAATGTAAGCATGTAAAATTGCAATTATAATTTCATACTTTTATATTTACTACTTTATCTATTTACAGAATGGTTTACCTATTCAACTTTTATTGATGTTTACTTTACATTTTTTAGATTTCTGTACCAAAAAGTCTTAACATTATGGTTATGATGCCTGGAAGTAAAGAAATGAGTGAAGCGTATAACCGAGTTATATACTCTTTTTCGCAAAATATAACAATGGCACCGTATGAGATATATATTATAGTAGGTTCACTAAGAAGTTTACGCAAAAGTCGCGAATTTGTATTTGATAGACCTATGGATCTAGAAATTTGGGCTGAAGAGCAATCTCGTCAGCGGTGCACATCAGAATTTCTTAATAAAATTATGGACATTCTGTGTAACATCAAAAAGTCGTATGGTTTCTTGGGTAATATTTCAACTTAATTTGTCGTTTCA